TTCTTCCTAAGTAATTAAATAAATTAGCAGATAAATAAATAAATGAATAAATAAATAAATAGATAAAATGTTTAATAATAGTTAATTATTACCAGCAAGAATAATTTTTGTATCCAGTTCTATTACATAAGCTCATTCAAAGTGTTATCATTGATATATTTTAACTTATGATTTTTAGAATTTGAAAATGAAATTCTAAAAAAACGTCTTGTTGATAGGGGTCTGGACAGGGTTTGCATAGCTTCTCTTTCTTTATAGTTTTAGATTTCCATTCTTTTTTTAAATTCTACATTTCTATATGAAACTACTTAAAATCCGAAAAGTAGTTTCAAATAGAAATGACAAAAAAATGACCCCCAAAAAATAATGTTTCGTAAAACATCTGCCATGTTTGTAAAATACAATAAAGATACTTATTATTAAGTTATATAGGATATTAATTCTTTTATTCGGATAAGTTCTCTTAATAGAGAAACACCGACATCTTACGAACGAACGTAACCAAAAACGGGGATCAGTCATTGCAGTCTATTGTATTCACAGTTGCATTATTGAATTCTTCAATTTTATTGGGATTTCGATAGATAAAATCCCCACAAGATACCTCAAAGCCACGTTTTGTCGAAGTCGCTACCGTGACTTTACAATACATTTCAATGGACATTTAAACAAGTAAAGGGGTTCGAGAAGGGAAATGAAAGGAAAATTAAAAAAAAATGCCATTCTGTGGCATGAAATAAAACATAATAGTATGTGTTGATCTAGTAGAGCCGAAAGGGGGGGGGGGGCTTTACGAAGGGTGGTCTAGACAATAAGGAGTTATGGTCTAAAACTAAATTGAAAACCCCTAAAAACTTTCAAGAAATTCTTGTTTAAAATACTATATGCTGCAAAAAATAAATTAATAAGGCTTTGATACACAGGTATTATAGCCATTTTATAAATCCTGGGGGATGCCCGTTCGTAATTTGTCAGTTGATAAAGCTTCTTCTTACAAGCTTTTATCTTAAAAATCTTCATATAATTCGGACGGGTGCTAATAGACAGGACCCCCCCCCCCTCCCTTTACATCCCAGACCCAAAGCTATTTTTTCAATTACACTGAAAATGTTCAAAGACTTCTCGAGATATCGCTTGAAACAAAAGTGTAACAGACGGATAGAATTATAAGGCAAACGGGCTGACCGAAATTAATATCCCCAACTTTCGGGGGGGGGGGGTCGGCGCAAAAATGGAAGTTTAGTGAATTGTGTTTTTGACATAATTTAGGATATATGATATCAAGTTCCATATAAGAATGCCATCATATGTCCTTTGCCCCCTCCCCCCTCCCCAAACACCTGGATTAAATATAAATCCGGGTCCAAAGATAATTTTTGGCTTTCTTTCCCTAAAAAAATTTACAATTTACAACATACAAAATTGATACCTGCAATAAAAAATTTAGAGGTGATTTGATATACTAGGGGCATGATTTTTAAAATAAATATGAATTCTATGTAGATTTGGATTGTTCATATGAAATACATTATGTACTAGACGGTTAATTTATGAAAGAAGACAAATATGAATATCAAGGGACCCGGTATGTATATTGGAGGTGAGTATGGGGAGCTTGTCTGGACGATAAATGCATGGTTAACAAACAATGACATAGGGGAGCATAATTTTAAGACAAAATGTACTAAGAAAAATAAACCACCCTACATCAATGCATATTTTCAGCTTTTTTTATAATCCACAAATATAAACAGATAAACATCATGTACATGCACACAAGTTCGTATATAGGAACGGGGTTGAGAGGTTTGGGATAAGAGCAACCCCCCCCATCCCCCATGAAGTCGATAAATAAACAAGGTAATATTATATATAGAAAAATTAGTTACTGTATATTTGTGCCCTCAATAAAAAAAATCTTTCATTTTGGCATCTTCAGGAATTATTTGGTAGTTCTCATAATACCTGAAAATGAAATAATTTGCAACTCTTAACTGTATTTGCATAATAAAAAAATATAACTTGTCACTGCATTAGAAAAATTTGCTTGATAAATCCCAAGTAGCTGGTTATAAACAAAGCACTGATCGCGATGAGCTTGTAAACATGACGTCATATTGGTAAAATGACGTATTACATGTGCTGTGAGAGGCAGATTGAGGAATTTTTAAACAATGAAAAATGGATTTTAGTATTAAGTGGCATATCATTTAGAGGTTTTAAATAGTCGATTAATACCAATGTATATCCTTTGTTTAGTGTGACTATTCATTAACTATCAAGTGAATGTATTTCATTAATTATGTCGTGTTTTTATGTACAGGTTACGTACATTTTACAGTTAGATGCCTCATAAAATCGTACTCTTGCAAGGGCATACACTGCATAGATCTGAACCATTTTTTTGAATATAGATAAAGGATATTTTCCTTAACTTGAAAAGTTTTGCTGCTTTCTTTAAAACGGGGGTGTGATTTTATAAGTACACAAAACATTTGGTAAAAGTCAAACATATTTCGACATTGGACTATTTACTTGAAAATTTAACTATTAAAATGCGAATTCTGTTCAAAGCAGCAGCACTTTTCAGAAACTACAAAGTATGCAGAAACAATTAATAGCTTCTAATTTTCATTTCAACTAGGATATGCCCTTGCGATATTGAAATTTGTTAATGACCTACATTCAGTACACGAACTATGCATTCATCACGTGACTGTCCATCGATGGGACTAAACTTCATACAGTACAGAGTGGGTTATACTATGATATTTCCATTAGAATGAAAGTTCTGTGATAATAAAACAGCTTAAATAAAATAAATTCAATTTTAAAAAATATTCCTTTTTTGCACGTCTATTTTCCGTTGATTTCTCATCCTTAACAATGCTGCGATGACCGATCAAAGTTATACAAAGGAATATCTAGGAGAAATCTTTAAAAATCTTCTTCTCAAGAACAACTGTGGCCAGGAAAGATGAAACTTATGGGGAAACATCCTCAGGTAGTGTAGATTCAAGTTTATGAAAATCATGACCCCCGAAGGTAGGGTGGGGCCAAAATGGCCGATCAAAGTTTTACAAAGGAATATATAGGAGAAATCTGTAAAAATCTTCATTTCAAGAACCACTGGGTCAGGAAAAATAAAACTCGAGTGAAATCAGCCTCGGGTAGTGAAGATTCAAGTTTGTTCAAATCATGACCCCCCCCCCCCCCCCCCAGGGGTAGGATGGGGCTAAAATGGCCGATCAAATTTTAACATAGGAATATATAGGAAAAATCTTTGAAAATCTTCTGCTCAAGAACAACTAGGCCAGAAAAGATGAACCTATTGTGGAATCATCCTCAGGTAGTGTAGATTCAAGTTTATGAAAATCATGACCCCAGGGGTTAGGGTTGGGCCAAAATGGCCGATCAAAGTTTGACAAGGGAATATAGGAGAAATCTGTAAAAATCTTCTTCTCAAGAACCACTGGGCCAGGAAACATGAAACTCATGTGGAATCATCCTCAGGTAGTGGAGATTCAAGTTTGTTCAAATCATGACCCCCTAGGGGTAGGATGGGGCCAAAATGGCTGATCAAAGTTTTACATTTTAGGAATATATAGGAGAAATTTTAAAAACCTTCTTCTCAAGAACCACTGGGCCAGGAAAGATGAAGCTATTGTGTAATCAGGATCAGGTAGTGTAGATTCAAGTTTCTTCAAATTATGACCCCCGGGGGTAGAGTGGGGCGAAAAGGACCGATCAAAGTTTTACAAAGGAATATCTAGGAGAAATCTTTAAAAATTTTCTTCTCACGAACCACTGGGCCAGGAAAGATTAAACTCAAGTGGAATCATGCTCAGGTAGTGTTGATTCAAGTTTATGAAAATCATGACCCCCGGGGGTAGGGTGGCGCCAAAATGGCCGATCAAAATTTTACAAAGGAATATCTAGGAGAAATCTTTTTAAAAAAACTTTTTAAGAACCACTGGGCCAGGAAACATGAAACTCATGTGGAATCATCCTCAGGTAGTGGAGATTCAAATTTGTTCAAATCATGACCCCCCAGGGGTAGGATGGGGCCAAAATGGCCGATCAAAGTTTTACATATTAGGAATATATAGGAGAAATTTTAAAAACCTTCTTCTCAAGAACCACTGGGCCAGGAAAGATGAAACTCCACTGGGCCAGGAAATATGAAACTCACGTGGGATCATTCTCATGTAGTGTAGATTCAAGTTTGTTCAAATCATGAAACCTGTGTGTAGGGTGGGACCATAATGATTGATCAAAGTTTTTCAAAAGGAATATTTACGAAAACTCCACTGGGCCAGGAAAGATGAAACTCACGTGGGATCATTCTCATGTAGTGTAGATTCAAGTTTGTTCAAATCATAAACCCTGTGTCTAGGGTGGGACCACAATGATTGATCAAAGTTTTTCAAAAGGAATATTTACGAAAACTCCACTGGGCCAGGAAAGATGAAACTCACATGGGATTATTCTCATGTAGTGTAGATTCAAGTTTGTTCAAATCATGAACCCTGTGTCTAGGGTGGGACCACAATGATTGATCAAAGTTTTTCAAAAGGAATATCTACGAAAAGTCTTCTTCTCAATAAATATTGAGAAAAGAAAGATGAAACTCCTGTGATGTCATCTCCAGGTAGTGTAGATTCAACATTGTTCAAATCATGACCCCGGGTGTAGGGTGGGGCCAAATGACAGATCAAATTTTTACATAGGAATATATATTAGGGAAACTTTTTAAGATCTTTTCAAGCAATTCAAAGCCATGCTTAGTGACATTTATGGGGAATCATCCTCAGGTAGTGTAGATTTTAGTTTGTTCAAATCATGACCCCCTGGGGGGTTAAAATTCAACCCACCAACCCCTCCCCCCTCAGAAAACGTTCAGTTCTGATCTGACATGTACTTTTTCCTAGTAAATTGCTCAGATGAGCGATGTGGCCCCTGGGCCTCTTGTTTAACACTTAAATTACTGCGACATTTACCTCTTTGTATCAATTCCATGACACCGTTGTAACATAGTTCTACTAGTCCTGTTTTGTTTCTGTTAGAAACACAGATATACTGATCGTTCCCATACTTGTCTACACCACAGCCCAGTCTGGTGGAGGATTCCAAGACCTCTGTGGCGTTTTGGGGACATGATTTCACAACGTTTTCCATTTCTACAAGGAAAAAACAACTTATAAAACAAAAGATATATAATCATATAACTTAATGTTGCATTCTACTCAGATAAAAAAGAAATCCAGCATCTCTTAACACTTTCATCGTTATAACGTTGCCCACTGTGTATTCAAACTAAAGGTTGTACTTTTGCTGACATTTTTGGATCCGAATCGTCAAAATTCCAATACATATCTGCTATTCAGAATAAGAACTATGATTAACACATCATCAGTAAAGTGGTGTCAAGGCTATCTATTGTGACTGTGTTTAACTCTTATATCACCTACGGAGTATCCAGAAGTCTCTCACCCATGCTCCCTTATTTTTTTTTCTGATATATAAGTATTTCAGCATTTTACCTATTGAATAAAATAATTCCAATTACAAGAAAAATGATATTATCCCATGTTGAGAGCTCTATAATTCATTAAAGGTGCTTCTGTAATTATGGGATACTATTGAAAATTTAGATACTGCATGAAGATGGCCTGTGTACAGAACGAGGTAAACAGGGTAAAACATAATCTGATGTACAAACGGCAGGGATAAGAATACTAATAACTAATTGAGAGAAATCACTTGTATTTATACGTATATGTTATAACTGTTAATTATAAATTTCTGATAATATTTCCGTATATTAGCAACACAATATCTGTTATACGTGACACTATTCAAAGGACAGGAATGGTTCTAGAAATTTATTAAGGATGTCTATTTCATCAAATCACTAAACATTAACCTTTGTTATGTTGAACATAATCCATGTCCCTCATGTAAAGGCTAAAATCCCCCATCACTTTCTGTAAAAAGATTCTTCTTTTGGAATTTTCCTTATCAATTGCATTTATTGGCAACGCGTTCATCTTAGTCATTTATGTTGAATTTGATTTAATCATGCCTTTATATGGATATATTCTCTCAAGGTCTTCGACATTTTTCGGTAAAATTTAGAGCTTAATTATAGTGACTAATGATGATGAATGTATCTAGAAAGTAAAGGAAAAAATATGTTATGAAAAAAAATACAATATCGAACAAAAAATCGACATAATTAAAAGACATTATTATTGGTTTTTACTGGTTTCTACAAGAAATAACTTCTTAGAATTTTATACTTTAGAAATTAACGTATGGTTTGGTTCAGATTACTAAATGATAATGGTTTATATATATATATATATATATATATATATATATATATATATATATATATATATATATATATATAACCGACTCTATGCTGTTAGCGGCATATCGTGACTGTTGACACTTGCTGGTTTC